GGCTGCGGGACCTGGGCTATGCGGCAGCCTCTGCCCACTTCTCCAGGGCTGCTTGTACTCACCCTTGCCAAACTCGTAGCCCATCTTGGTGAGGAGTCTGGAGCCTATGCCTCGCGTGTGCACCTCCCAGCCGGCAAAGGCAGAGCTGCAGGTCCCGGAGTCCACAGTGTCCGACCCCACCACTGCAAGAGAAGGACAGAGGGCAGTGGCCGGCCAGGGCAGAGGACTATGCATGGTGACCTGGGCTCTGACCAATGAGCTCAGATCCTGGGCAGAGCCCCAACACCCCACCTCTGGGGCTCCGTGCTCTGTCACTGAGGCTGCTGTGGGCATGTGACACCAGGCAGAGTGCATGGCAGTCCCCACGGCCTCCTGCACCGTGGCCCCTCCTCCACAGCCCTCTCCTGCCCTTGCCCTTCTCCACCTTCGCAAGGCCGTGAGCTCCTCACCTGCCCTCACAGAGTCCTTGGTTTGGTCCTCCTTCACCAGGGACTTGGGGCTTCAGAAACCACCATCACTGATCCCTGGGTACACCTCCAACATGCAGACCCCTCCTGGACTCAGCCCACCATGCTTGGGTCAGGTGACCTCCCGCATATACACACACATGCATACACACACCCCTCTGGAGAGCTGGCCACCGGCCACTAGTTCCCATTCCCGAAGCTTCCACCCTGGCTGTCTGGACACAACCTCTGTCTGCCAGGATCCACCAGGCACCCAGGTCCCAAGTTTGAGAAGCCATGCAGAGGAGCTGCCCCTCTTGCACTCCAGGCCTCATCAGTTGTTCATTTTCTGTGACTTCCTTGGCAACTCCGGGCGCCTCCTCTCCCATGGCCACAGCCATGACCATGGCCTCCCATCAGTGAGACTGTAGCTGTTGTACCCACGCTCCTTGAAGACAAAGGCCACCACGGATCTACCCCGGCCCTTCACTCGCACTCCTGTACCCCTGCCCCACACGGCCTCCCCAGGCACGGCTGGCGCCCTCGCTGTGGCCACTCTCCAATAGTTTGGTTAGATGGTCGGTGCCCTCAAAAGCCAGGAGCCTCTCAGGGTGACCCCACCTTCCTGGCTCCTGGGTTCCACAGCTGCTGCCATACCTCTGGCATAGCTGGAGTCACCTGTGCCATCGCTGTCTGAGTCGGACTCTGTGGCCTCTGTGCGCAGTGGGGGCAGGATGCCGTCCCCCTCCACCACGGCCTCCCTCAGCAGCAGCGAGTCAAACTTGACTGTGTAGTAGCCATTGTCCACATCTAGAGGCAGAGACAAGCTGCAGGTCAGCATCCTTGACAGCAGGTGCCACTGATGGGGAACCACCCTGGACATCAGGAGCAAGGCAGGGCAGAGGCTGAGGGTAGATGTGCTCATTTCGGGCCCAGAGCCAGAGTCCCAACACTCATCCCAAAGGAGGCAGGGAGCAGCCACGCAGTAATAACACGTGTGGAGCCTGGGAGGGTGTTCCCGGGAGGCCTCCACGGCCAGCCTCACCGGTGATGCGCGCCGCGTGCCAGAGGCCATCCTGGTGCTTGGCCAGACACGCAGAGCCGGCCTGCAGGGAGCTCAGGTCTGGGTCCTGGAAGGGGCGCAGCTCATCCAGAGAGACCACCTGCCCATGGGAGAACCTGCAGACAGAGCCATAGGGGGCAGGGCTCAGACATGGGCCACCAGGGGCAAATAAACCCAGGAGCACTGACCCATCCACCTGGGCACTGTCTTGAGGGAGCCAGACACATGCATGTATACACACACACGCACACATATACACATACATGCACATACACACATGTACACATACTCGTACACACATGCACACGCACTAACACATGCATACACGTACATACACACAGGTGCACACATGCATATACACACGTACACACACATGCATACACACACATACACATACACTCACACATGCATACACACATGCATGCACACACATACACATATACGCATGCACACACATACACATGTACACACATACACACATGCATATAACATACTCACACATGTAGTCATACACATACACACAGAGACCCTCACACATTTATAAACATGTACTCACACACTCATGCAAATACATATGCAGTCATACATGGATATACACAAGCACCCTCTCACCCACGCACATGCGTGCACACACACGCCTGCTCACACACATGTTCACATGCACTCTCACCCACACACATGCACGCACACACACGCCCTCTCACACACATGTGCACATGCACTCACCCACACGAGCACACACATGCACACACGCGCACAAACGTACCTTCACCCACACATGCAGTCACCCACACACATGCGCACACATGCAGACTGTCACATGCACTAACATATACACCCATACATGCATATACACACATGCACACACACGACATGCACACACGCACATACATGCACACATGCACACACATGACATGCACATATGCACATACATGCACACACATGACATGCACATATGCACATACATGCATACACGCTCACACTTGCACACACACATACAGTAGTCTCTTGGTATCCCTAGGAAACCCCCTGTGGACACTAAAACCCGAGGATGCTCAAGTCCCATAGATACAATGACACAGTATTTGCATACAACCTATGCACATCCTCCCATATACTTTGAATCATCCCGAGTACTTGCAGTACCTGATACAATGTAAATGCGATGTAAATAGTTGTTATACAGTGTACAGACGCAACCATCCTTTTCTTCCCCAATTATTTTCGACTCGAGATTGGTTGAATTGATGGTTATGGAACCCGCGGATACCAAGGGCCAACTGTACACTTTACACACGTATGCACATGCACACACACAGTCTCTCTCACAAAGGGTCTACTGTACACTTTACACATGTACGCACATGCACACATACACAGTCTCACACACCCCAAGGGCCAACTGTACACTTTACACACGTATGCACATGCACACGCAGTCTCACATCACACACACAGACACCCGCATTTTCTCTCTCAGGATGGACTTGGCTGCTCCAGAAGAATATACCCCGTGTGTCCCATCGCCTCTGCTGGAGTCCCAGTGTGGCAGCCCCTTTTGACAGCAGCTCCCACAGTCTCACTACTGCACAGGAAGCCACAGCGCCAGTTCATCAAGGCAGAGGTGCTGGGGGTGTGCATGTGCTCCTATGACTGAGTCCTCCCCCACACTAGGAGAACCTGCTTATGAAATAGCGGTG